TGCAAAAGACATATGCACGACGTCGCAAAAATATTCACAGTGAATATTTATGTCCCTAAAATGCCACCATATCAATGGGGTGACTTCATTTGCATACGCGCGACTTTCAAATGTATATAAAAGATTACCTGGCACTAATATAATTACTGGATGCGGGTGCGTCGTTCGCCTCCGCGGAGCAGGCCCTGTGGGAAGGAGGGAGCTGGCACCAGAGAAGCAAGAAGAGTAAGAAGAAGGTAAAGGAACAGAAAAACAAGAGGAATTGAAAAAGGAAATTGGTTGAAAACAAGACGAATTGTCTATGGAATTAGCTCAGTCCATGATGGAAGGCGGTCCGCATCATAGCATTATCATATTAAATTATTCGAGCCCTAGTTCGTCATTTTCCACGCGGAGAAGCTTTGACGCATCTTTGGCACAAACATTTTGAGTTAGTTTATTTGTAGAACGTAATGAAATAAGATGGAACAAATTGTGAATACAGCTGATTCACAATAGTGCGCTTTCAAGAGTTTGCAACGGTTTGGCCAATCACAACGCTCGAAATTTGTCGACCCTTTCCAAACGCGCATTGGGTCGACAAATTTCGCGCACTGCGATTAGTGAACGCGTTGCAAACTCTTGGAGGCGCACTTTTGTGAAACGCCCGTATTGTGTAAGCCTATTATAAGAACAACGCTCAAGTACAGCATTCAGAAATAATGGATTGATTGTGCGTGTGAGGTTTTGACATTTTTGATCTACTTTGTAGACGCACAATTTTTAGAATATGAACGCAGGTATGCAAATAACATTACAAAAGCCGTACAAGAATTAACATTTTTCATTGGTTTCATGTTTATGCTCAAACATGGATGCACCCCAGATTTCACTGTGCACAGCTTGCGCTCGCAGGTTGCAGGCAAGTGTTTAAAGCGCCGGCCAAATCGCCATTTGCAAGCTGTCACTTCTCTGTTATTTGTCAACATTTTCTGGCCCATGAACTTGGAGATCATTGCAGCTAGGAAATATAAAGGTTACCAACAAGAATGTCAGCTTGTGTGTGAGTGAAATTTTGATGAGACCAGTGCCCGCCCTAAATGTTTTAATTTGCAATGCAGTTCAGGCATCATTTTTCAAAATGGCGCATGATCGACGGCCGGTTTTTTAAGGGTTGATCCTCTGTGCAGATAAAAATATCTAAAACGGTCAAGCCTCTGAAAATTGGAAGGAAAATGAAAGATGAGGAAATGAGCTTTAATATGACGTGTGTCTTGAAAACGTGAGAAACTTGTGAAGATTTCCCAGATTTTTGAAAGGGGGGTATTGATCACTGTTGTGCTATATTTACTGGTCTGTAACCATTACATTGATCTCCATTATAAAGACTGAAAACAATACGGACGATTCACAATAGTGCACCAACGAAATTTTGCAACACATTGGCCAATCACAACGCGCAAAATTAGCGTTTGGAAAGGTCGACAGATTTCGCTCATTGTGATTGGCCAACGTGTTGCAAATTCTTGGTGGCGCACTATTGTGAAACGCCCGTGTTGCGCGCACTGTGTGGCAAGCAGCACGGATTACGCGAGACGACGAGTGTATATGTAAACTATATTCATAAATAACTCGGCCTCTCTATTCAATCAACAACTTACAACTTGTGTAATGCCCGCGTGTAAAACGCGTTGGCACGCGCACCTGGATACGAGATTTACTCATCGATCTCCATTATCCCTGTTGGGGTTGCACCACTAGAAATAAATTCCCATAGACAGCAGTGATAATCCCCATACTTCACAAATATTTTAAAAATACAACTCTCAAAGGTGTTCAGGCTACACAGGAAAATGATGTTCCACATGTCTTCTTTCATTTTCCTTTCAAGTTTCGGGGGGTTGACCAATGAATTTTTGAGAAATTTTCACCAGAAGCAGACCACCCCTAAAATGCAGAAAATGTCTCTGTCCAGAAAAGTAGCCATCTTGAAAAACCATCCCTCGGCGAAATGGCTCAAATAGCGCCACTTTCAAACCCGATTGCATCCAAATTGCTCAGAATTGGAAGCCCTGAGTCCGGCCCAGAGATTCGGTCTCATATTTCTTCAATTCCCCAGTTCCATGGCTCTCAGGACCCTCTAATATAGAATAACTCGGCGGACATATTTCTGGCCTAAATATGATGAGGGTGCACTCTTGGCCATGAGCAAAGATTATATAGCACCGCGTAGCGGCGCAAGATGGGTAATTCGGCCATTAAGGTGTTATCACCATTGGCGCCATTCGAATGTGAACGTTAATTCGTGTGCGCGCCTGTCGCGGCGCCTGCGCCTGCGCATTAACATACACTGCGCAGGCGTAGTCCAACCAGAATGGCGCCTATGTGATAACAACGTTTTACGCGTATTCATGGTGAAGTTCCCCCTCTTGCTCCGCTACGCGGCGCTATACGATCTTTCGCCATGAGTCAGCTGCGTGCGACGCAACAAGCAAAATGCCACGCGCGCGCCAAGTCCACATAGAAAGGGATTCTATTGGACAACTTTCAAAAGGAATATACCATCATAAAATGGACGGCGTGTTTAGGAACATGAAGGTAAAATTGAGAACAATATCGTTGGAAATCCATCATGTTGCCTTCCTTTGACTCTCCGAATACAAAGGTATTTATGAATGGGAATAAATCATGTGCTTTGCCGGCCTTAAACTGACGTTCAAGACCTTGCTCAGGAGAATGGACGCGACTAATGCCCTCGCCAGCGGCCTGAGCAAGTCCTAAACGCACGATTAAGACCGGCCAAGCACACATTTATTCCCTTAGTAAAACAGCATTTAATCATAGTTCGTGTTTGAAGATGGCGATCCGGTGAAATAAATAAGAATGTTATCTAATGATTTCTAGCTATCTGTGTCGACTATAGGCCTACCTTACAGATTTCTGTTGGTCTGTCCAATTTTTTTTGTTTGTCATCTTGGGAAACCGCCTTAGAGTTCAGGTTTAGAG